TTTTTCTGAGACAGAGTGTTGCTCTGTCACCCAGGATGGAGTGCAGTAGCACGTTCTCTACTCACTGCAACCTCCACTTCCTGGGTTCAAGTGATTCGCCTGCCTCAGCTTCTCCAGTAGAATGGATTACAGGTGCCTGCCACCACACCACACCAAAATACAAAGTAATGTTTTATATTTTTAGTAGAGATAGGGTTTCAACATGTTGGCCAAGCTGATTTCGAACTCCTGACTTCAAGTGATCCGCCCACCTCGGCCTCCCAAAGTGTTAGGATAACAGGCATGAGCCACCACGCCTGGCCGAGACTGATCTTAAGTCACACAGGATCACAGGTGCATGGAGCATCTCCTCTCACCCCCTCCCCACTGCCCACCACCTCCTTTCCACTCGTCCTCCCTCCAGTTCCTGGAATGCTCCAGTCTCTCCTACTTCAGGACCATCACACCTGTTGTGTCCTTTGTCCAAAAGGCTCTTTCTTCCTCTTTTCACCTTGCTGATGTCTACTTAGCTCTGCAGAGAGGGTGTCAACTACCTCCTCATCACATTAAATTCAGTGCCCCTCTGACTTCTCTCTTATAACAGCCAGCACTTTTATTTATTTATTTATTTTGAGATGGAGTCTCGCGCCCAGGCTGGAGTGCCGTGGTGAGATTACTGTAACCTCTGCCTTCTGGTTTCAAGCAATCCTCCTGCCTCAGCTGGGACTACAGGCACACACCACCATGTCCAGCTAATTTTTGTATTTCTAGTAGATAAGGGTTTCACCATGTTGGCCAGGATGGTCTTGATCTCTTGACCTTGTGATCCGCCTGCCTTGGCCTCCCAAAGTGCTGGGATTACAGGCGTGAGTCACCGCACCCAGCCAATAGCCAGCACTTTTACTTGGCGGCGTCACTCCCCATTCATAATTGTATTTGTCTGTGCCGTTCTTGGATGTCTGCCTCTCCTGCGAGGCTGTAAGTTTGAGAAGAGCAGCAACCATGCCGACTGGTTGCTGCAGGATCCCTGGAACCTAGCAGAGCTCCCAGCACATGTTAGGGACTCAGCAAATATATCAAATAGCGAACAGGTGAATGCTGAACCCCCGCTCTCGGCATGCTCACAGGATGGGTAAGTATGGAAATGTGGAGCTACAGACACCACATCTGAGTAGGGGGGGATGTGAACCCCAAATCAGGATCCTTCTAGGAAGGTCACCCAGCCAGTGATGTGAGGTTGGGGTTCACTCACCTCTGGCATCAAAGAATTCATCATCTGAGCTCTCCACAGAGTCACCGAGGACATTTCGAAGGTGCCAGGGGGCACCGCCGCCCGGGGGAGGGCCACCTGTTAAAGGGAACATATCTGTTAACCAAGCCCGAGATGGTGTCCCAGTATGAGGGAGGTGACCCAAGACCCCCCTGGACTAAAGACCAGTTAGCATCCTGCACATCTGCGCCTTCTCCCTCCAAGGCCTCAGACCCCATAGAGCCCTCCCTCTCCTGTGCCTTCACTGAAGCTCAAAAACCTCTCTGGGTAAACTCAGCAGAGCAGGAATGAGTATGCCCATTTTGCACATCCTAAAACTGAGGCCAGTGGTAATTATGAGCCTTTGCCAAGATGACTTTGCCAAGCCACGTCTCAGTCAGCAGAGGGGGAGATCTGCTGTATGAACAAATGAGCTCAGATGTTTAAACAGCAGTGGTTTATTTCTCACTCACACACAGGTTGGAGGGGAGCTCTGCTTATTGTGGTCATTCAAAGGCGCCACCACCTTATGATGTCACCAGCCCAAAAGGAGACATCAAGGTCTGGCCAAGCAGGGGAGAAGGGCTCAGAAAACCTCACCCCGTCTCAAATGCTTCTGCCCAGAAATGACACACTTCTGCTCACACTTCGCCGGCCCCGGCTACCAGGCATACACGCCCTGTCCCCACAGAGACCTGCATTCTGGTATCAGCAATGCCCTGTCTCAGGTTTTCCATCTGTACAGTGAGAATCCTGGCAGAGACTGTTCTTGGAAACTCTTCTACTCTGACTGATATTTGAGGAGCCCGCCTGGCATGCAGTAGCTGTCAATAGACAAGCAGGAGGTGGACATCCTCCCCAGATACTGCCAGGTGAGCCTGATGGTGCAGTCCTTGGACATACCTGCTGCAGTCCCAGTTTGCCACACCCCGTACCCTGCAGGATGCTGGCACTGTTCCCTGCCCTTAGTCCAGATCCCAGAGCATAAACTGCCACTGAAGGGAGAGGGCCAGACCACACCATCCAGGGACACAGCCCTCCTGCCTTTCATTCCTCCTGTCCCACCACAAATTCCCAAACACACACCCAGCTTGTGCTCCATGGCTTGAAGCCCAGTGTAAAACACATTCCGAGACATCAAAAGGACAGAGGTTACAGTGAGCACCAACTCAGTAGTCACCTCGAGGTACAAAGCTGATTCCTTAAGGTTCTGATCCCCTGCCTCGAATACTGTGGGCCGATATCCCACCCTTGGTCCCTCAGGCAAGGGGGTCTGAGAGTCCAGATGCACCGTAACTGTGTTCCTAACACGGATACGGGACTATTTTCCAAATGTATTCTAGCTATTGCAATAAGACCAGAAAAAAGAAATGAAAGGGATACAGGTTGGAAAGGAAGATATAAAATAGTCTTTATTCCCAGATGGCATGATTGTCTACACAGAAAACCAAAACTCTACAAAATCTATGTTAAAAAAAACTACCGGAACTAACAGCTGAGTATAGCAAGATTGTAGGATACAAGATCGGTATGCAAAAGTCAATTGTGAGCTGGGCGCAGTGGCTCATGCCTGTAATCCCAGCACTTTGGGAGGCTGAGGCAGGCAGGATCACCTGAGGTCGGGGGTTTGAGACCAGCCTGAC